AATTAAGACATGGAATTCATTTCTACCGTGGCCCGGAATTTAATTGGACAAAGATGACACGCAATGCAAATAAATGAGACACTGGCAGAAAAAGCAGGAGAAAAGATATAAATCTCTCACACTTCAGGTGTTAAGTTAAACACTGAGAGGAATTAGCGAGACATTTCTTGCATGAGTAGCAGTCCTCAAAATTAACACTGAGGAACAGCACCAACCCTGGCCCCCAATCTCTTTTTAAATCTCACTCAGAGTTGATATCCACACAGAAAAACGACTTAACTCAGCAGAGCAATCCTATTATAAAAATAGATCATCTAGAGCACATCCTTAACAAGTCTAGAAGTAATGCACATTTATACCCAGAAATCATATTTAGTATTAATGAGAAACTTCAAAGAAATCTGACAATGTGGAATAAATTTTTATAATCTGAGGAGACTTTTCCTCTGCCCTGACCTCCCACATGATAACTTGCATTTGATAAAGCTTTGTGAAAAAAGGTCACCCACACAGTGGGCTGGGAAATTGAGATGCACATTAAGGGAAATTTCTTCAAGAGCACCATACTGATGTGATTATGACCCTGTGAAGATACATCTCATTTCCCTAAAATTAGTCAGTCAGGTAGGTTCCACTTCTGAAGAATTAATTACATTGACAGCAGAGGATACAACTTACCTCACCATTCAAGAAGCAGTAAAATACTGACACAAAGAAACCCTGGAAACAAGAGAAAGCAGTCAGTTATTAGGTAAGTATTTTAACATGCCGAACTGCAGATTGAGCTTTATCCAGAGATCATCCTGAGCATAACTATACTCTTGTTGAGATCATCCACTTACAGACTGATCAAATTTCTACCCTACACTTTCATCAGAAAATACAAGGTGGATCGCAGTTCACAGATAAGACTTGAGAGCACAGTTTGGATGGCAATGCCACTGGTTAAAGGGGTAACTGTACCAAAATATATCTAGAGTCTCCAGCTGCCTTCCCAAAATGTCACAGGCTTCTCACATATCTTGTGTCATGCCTACCGGTTCTATGCGGTCAGATATCAAGGATACCACAGTGGGGTTTCAGATGGTTGTGCGTGGGCAAATGTATCAAATCAGGTTGTTTACGTTCAGCTGAGCTGAAATGCACTGTAGGATCTATTGACAGTAATGGCTAGACCTCTTTAATGACTGCCAAGACTGTAATGACTCTAATGGAAGTTCAGAGGATGACATGATGACACTTTAAATTTTGAATCTGTGAGTACAGGCCCATCCTTTTTGCTTTCAGTAATTATTGTAATGATTTTCTCAGAGAGAATCCTAAGCTACATCTCTTACATACAACTTCATATCTCTAACAATAAAAATAAACAGGAGACATTAAGCTTCAGGAGATACATCAAATTAAAAATGTGGATAGGTTCACAGGTAAGGGTTTAACCCCTACTGTTCATGGATTTAAAGGATCATCTTCCTTTTGGGATTTTGTGTTTCTGTTTCTGGTGTGATGTTCTGGTTTCAAAGATAAAAGTTCTCAAATAGCTCAAAACCTGCAGTCATAGATTTGGTTTGAGAGTGTGTGTATTTTGTGTGCGCTCTGTATTTGTATCCGTATCCTGAATACAAGAGCACCCATTCCTGCAGAAGTAGTACACTAGTGTCAAACACAGTTATACCCAGTTCAAGAGTGTCTTAAGGCAGAGGTAAAGCCCCAGGCCACATCTAAGCAGAAGTATGTGGCTGAACATTGTAAGTTCCATTGGCTTTGCACTAAGTTCAGAGAGCTGGGGCAATTATTCACCTTCCACTGCCTCATACATCCTGGCAAAATTCCTCTTAAATTCAAGTAAAAGAGGGGATAGCTCACGTCTGTGTAACACAAGCAAGCCCACCAGAGAAGAGTTGTTTTCCTTTGCTTTAGCAACTTCTAATCTAAATTTAATCTCCCTCTGTATTCACTGAAGAGATACAGGTACCTTGAGAGTTTGATTCATCCTCCTCTCACAGTCATTTTAGAATGGGATGAAACAACATCTTTCTCATTAGAGGGAGCCTAAATGAAGAGTTTCATCTAAAGACTTAATGTATGAACAACCGATGTTAAGGGCAATGAATCTCTCTGGTATGTATCTGAGAGGAGAGCTGCATGCATCTACTAAGTAAGTATGCACTACGAAGCTGTATTCTTTTTAACTGATAAGCCTGCCATGAACTTCCTTGCTACAAGCTCCAAAATTAAAGAACACAGAACATTCCTAGCAGCATTTAATATCAGCTATAAACTTATTCTCCTACCTGAAAAGATTGCAGGAAGGAATTGAAATAGATGAAGACAATCTGTGAAATGTCATCTTCACCAGGGTTGACGAAGAAGAGCATGTAGGTAATGCCTAGCAGAGGCAGAAGGACTAATGTTGCCTTGACTGCCTTCCTGTGAGGAGAAAAGAGAAAATACCAGTGAACACAAGAGAGAACAACAGTGTTATCTGAACTGCTGCAAAATGAGCCAATCCAAATAAATAACTCCTTTTGTGGAAAGAGAGCAGGACTCTGAGAGCAATTCAGAGGATAATTAAGTATCTGTATTACCTGAAGAGGGAATTTGAGTGCCTACATAAGACAGGTCAGCACCTGCACATGTTGAACAGGGAGTAAACAAGAGGAGAAGAGAAGGATGTCTTAAGACATGTCTGTTTAGGGCTTTCCAGCATGTACAGTCATTGGAGGAAAGAGGCATCTTCAGAAAAAAAAAATTATATGTCCATTTCCGTCCCAATCAAGTGATTGGAGTTAGGCAGTCTTAGTACTCTCTGTGGGCGCCTACATCTCTCAGGGCACTCTGCTAGTGCATTTTCTGAGGACAGCAGTGGAGGCCTGTTTTTGCACAATGGCCTAATATTATGAGCATTTGCCAAGGGGAATATCCAGATTTCAGACCTTTCTCAGCCTGCCTGCATATGAACCATCCCAAAGCTCATGACCAGCTTATTCTACAACCCAGCACGAATGCTCCTTCCATCCTTCCAGGACAGGCTTGGGCCTCAAGCTTTGAAGGATACAGGTTTCCCAGGACAAGGAGAGGAGTAAGTAAGAGGGAGTCTGATCACATGGTTGAAAGGGTGGACAGAGTTTAGCAGGAGGAACAGGGAAAGAATGACAGCCTCCAATTTCTGTTGAAAAGTAATAGGTGAATTTGACAGCAACAGTTTCTAATCAGTACTTAACCACTTGAAGTTCTGAGGGGGCTTCTACCTTAGAATTTGACTGTTTGTCTCCACACCATGAACCCTAGCAGTCAAATGGAAACATTTCTATATCCTTGCCTTTCTGTCTTTGTCCTCCAGACTGTTTCTGTCTTACCACCAATACTTGCTTTAGGCCGAAGCCTTAAGATTCCTTTGAGTTCCAGAGAGTGTAATATTTTTACATGCAAGGAAGAAAACGTGAGAAGTGAGTGATTCAGCTGATGAGCAGTGTTTCTGTTCCCATAGACCTGACTTATGCCCATCTCCCTTTTCAATCTGGAGTGTAAATGGTCTCTCTGCTACATCTATACATCCAAAACAATGACCTAGGGTTGTCTTACAAATAATAAACAAGCAGATGGTGCACAGTGAAGCTTAAATGATTATTAACAGAATAACCAGGGGAAAATCTTTATTATTTGTATTGTAATAGCATATTATTAATAGATATTAATAGTATTAATCAATATTAACCACTGAACAGCACTTAATTGTGCCGGGTGCTGTACAGATGTAGAAGAAGGCAACTTTGCTGCCATATCTAAGCATAAAGCAGCCAGAGGCAGCTAAAGATGAGCAGGTAGGGAAAACATGGAGCACAAAGACACAGACAGTGTCGTATTAGAGTGACAGTCTTAAACTACCTGCCACATCATTTAATATTTCCTTAACAAAGCTTTGGAGTACCCAGCTTTAGAGCACCAAGGCTTGCCCCAGGCTTGCTTGGAATCAAAAGGGTTTCTATTTAGACTGAGGGAAAGAAGATCATCTCAGAGAGTGTGTAACAGAGATAAGATCACCATCATCTGTTCAAGAACAAAGACAGTCACTCCAGATTGCCTCAGAATCTAATTTGTCTAATGATCCCTCTCGACTGCAGCACAGAGAAAAATGCACTGAGTTTTGAACCCATTTTTTTTTGTGCTAGTTCTTGCTTTATCTTGTTTTATCTTGTTTATTAATTTCAGAATTGCCCCCAAACTCCACACAGGAGCAACAGGAAGAAAATAGATAAAATAAAAACCCGTTAATGCAGCAAAACTGTTTCCAAAGTGAAGAGTGGGCTGATTTGAGGACAAGAGGATTCAGGCCTCAGCCTGGTACACTTCACATATTTGTAAAGATTTTCTTTACAAATGACTTAGAGGATCATGGCTGTCTTGCTCCACAAACCCATGCTATTTCACAGAATGGGAGGACTTCTTTATCAGTAGAGCCCTGACCATGCTCTAAAGGCCCATCCTGCAAGATGCTGCGGGTAGGAAGAGTTGAAGGGGCACTCACTGTTTCCTGATAGATCTCAAAGAATGTTCTTTCATTAGTGTTTAGGACTGATCTGATGCCAGAAGGGGCCAGGTCACCTTATTTCTGCTGCATTCCTTTCTCTTCTGCCACAGTAGAGTTTGCGAGGTTGCACCATCACCCAGCTCTTGGTACCGATCTACCTGAAAACCATCCCATTAAAATGTAATGATTCATTCAGCCAGTTTCCTGACACAAATCCACTGAGTGGCTACATTAATGCTGGTGCCCGCAAATGGGAGAGGGCAGAAGCATCCCTTTTTCCCAAAGCCATAGGTCTTGATAAATACTAGGACTTGAGCAGTAATCTGACTTGAGCAGTAATCTGTGAACACAAAGTAATGATATTGCTATTGATTACAGGCAGTGCTTTGATTGAGACTTTTGCTCTTGTTCCCTAAAGATGGAAGAAGGAGAAGACAGGGAAGGCAGTTCTTTCCTGACATTACAAATAGCAAGAAGTGTCAGTTGACTTACCTGTATTGGATTGTTTCTGAAGTGGTTGAAGCTCTCAGTTTTGTCATTAAAATCCTAACTATGTTAAATAGAAATACAAAATTTATCTGAAAAATGAAAGAAAGAGAGAGAGAGAAAAAAGACAATAAGTCGAACAGTCAAAAAGGAGGAGACACGTTAAAAGGCATTTTGCAGTTCTGATCCAAGTGAAATCATCCCCTTAGTTTTACCATTGATGACAGAAGACTCAGAAGTTTACCAGAAACGTCAGCTTATGTAACAAATATCTGACAGCAATTAATCTTTACAAAAGTGCAGTGGAAATGTAGCACAAACCTAGTAGTTCCAGTCAGGAACCTTTCCTGAATGCCATAAGGAATCTGAGGAGCGGGATTCGTTAGACTACATGTATCTGTCTCTTCAGCTGGATTCTCAAGGCTCCCCATGCGGACTCTGTGGCAGCTCTGTGCTAGCTCTGTGCTGTGCTGATATGGCTTGAAATCACCCTCCTGTTCCACAACAGGTTGTCATGGTTAGGTAAGGCTCCGATGAACAAGGACCCAAAGATACTCTGAAGAGATCGATGTGTCACACTGCACTCCTTTTATGAGGAAAGCTACTGTGAAAGCTACTCAGCTACAGGAGAATTTAAAAAGGAGCAGATGAATCTTTTTTAATCTATTAAGTTGGGTAATTATTATATGTTTTGAAATCTTACTGCTCAAAATTGAGATTTGCTATAATTACCGTTGATGTAACATATGCTAATAAGTTTCTTATATAAGTTTACTCTCAGTGTAAACAGGAAAAAAAAAAAAAGATTGTAATTTCTTGGCTGTGATCAGCAGAAGAGTTTGGCACCTTGGAACGATTTGGGTTGCTTTCAATAGAAAAAGTAGAGTAGTTTGAAACATACTGCTCTGTCTCAAAATTGTCTATGATGTCTATGATGTGATAAAAACAGAACTGCTTTCTCAGGAATCCTGACCTACAGTTGTAAGATGATGTTTATCTTGCTCGCACTTCCAGAGTCCCAGACGTCCTGGCATTTTGCAGTCCATGAATGGAGCAATTCTGTGATTGACTTTCAGCTATTTATGAACATTGTAGCAGCATTGCCAATTTAAAGATGGTTGCAGAATACCTTTTTTTTTTTCATGGAGCATATTTCAGTGATTGCAGTATCTTGAGAACCATCACATTACTCCCTGGGGCAACTGTAGCACTGTTTATAACGAATGGTGCAGCAGGCACTCCTAACAGACACTGAGAGACTGGTAATCCAGGAAATCATGTACAGTAAATGTTTATGTGAACTGCCAAAATTCTGCTCTAATGGTTAGTGTGTGATCTTTTTGAAACTACTTTCTTAGTACAACAGGGCCTTGGGGGGTATAATTAACAAAAAAAAAATAGCACAGTTTCCTTTATCTTGCTACCAATTGTCTTTGCTATATTTAAGAGCCCCAAATCAACTGATTCTCACTTTATTTAACAGAGACCTAAACAGCTTCAAATCATTGATTTTACTTGAATGTTAAATGCTTCTCACTGGCGTCTGAACGGTTCCTCATTAACAAGAGGAATGTTCATCCAGTTGCTGCTGAGGGCTGGGTCGATGAGGGTGTCTTTCAACCATGGGAAGAAAAGTTCTGCCTCTGAAAACCCACCACCAAATCACAACATTCTTCATAAGATCAGAGCCAGGTTTCACTTATGTCTATCAAGGATGAAAAAAAAGGCACCAAGCCCAAACTCGCAGTTTTCACAATCGTTATGGAAGATGCCAAATGGAATTGTAGGCTCTTAGACAAGGTCAAGTTCCAAATATAATTAGAACTAATCAAACGGGATTAACATTATGAACCTTACTGAAGATAGCATTTCAAGTTTCATGAGTCCTAGTCTGATGTGACAGCAGGGAATTGGAAATTTAAATTGCTACAGGCTGCATCAGAAAAAAATAGGGATTTTGATCTCTGAAATTAAATTGTAGAAATATGATTCATCAGTCCAGAAGGAGAATTGCTATGTGTAAAGGTTGGGAATTACATCACTAGAACTACTGTTATTCTGTATAAACCAATTTTTCATTTTTCTACGCTCCTACCATTACTCCATTCAAGAGATGCTAAAAGAAAAGAATGACACACAAAAAGGATGTATTTATACTTCTCACCTTAATTAGCATACACGTTTGCATTTATCCCTGGTGACAACTGACTTGCTCATCTAGTTGACAACATTAATAGTGTCTTGGTTAATACACACACTGTATTGGGTACCACTAAGAGCTGAGTATTCCATGGAAGACAAAGTAAAACAAATTTAGGCACAGATACTTAGTGCCCTTCAAGTGACTCCTGGTAAGAAACTACTTCTGACTTGAGCAGAAGGAAAGCAGGCAGGATTTCCATATTTCCTAAAATGAAACATGTATGCCCACTTCAGCAAGCTGTCCTAGATGTGAGAGGAAAGACTGAGAGGAACACTATTTTGACACATAAACTCCTTCTAAATTGGTAGCGAGAAACATTGAGGCCAGAAAAGAGGCCTCAGCCACTCACCCTGACTCTCCCAATTCTTGCATTGAATTTTGTGCATATTCTTAGCCATTTTGGCCAAAGAGTTCAAACTTAAAGATCTGAAGGTAGACACTAAAATCCATCTGAGGAAGTACTCAGGAAGATGAAACTCTGCTTTTTAGAGTGACTGTGACTTTTGACTCTTCCTTTAATGCTTGTAGGACTGTATGTGTGGTGGATGTTCTTGCACTCTCGTATCATCCTGTTGACCCTCGTACATCTTTTATCCCTAATTCTCCATTACTGCCCAGTCTCTCCAAAGATGGAGACTACAGGTCTCACTCCCACAGTAAAAATTAATAGCCTTTCAAGTGGTCCTAAGGTATCTACCCTCAATCTAGTCACCTTCAGCTCTTTTAAAAACCAATAGAGAAAAATAGCTACTTCTACATAGCTGTTCCTCAGATCTATCTGAGATGTCTCCTTCAGCACAAGCTGACTCTCCCCACTTTGTACTCTCCACACTTTCTTTCCACATGACTACTAATATGACTTGCACAAACAGGTAGCCAAGACAGCAAACATTACAGGACTATATTTAATTGCCTAAACACAGAGAGGGAAGGCCCTTTTTGGTGTTGTGGCGTATGCTGCCGACTTCAAGCTACTACTTCAGAAAGGCATACACTTTCTAGAGAGTCTGTGTCACTTCTGTTTGTCTCATATGGGGCTGCTAGAGCAATTCAAAAGGCACCCATGTTTAGGCAAAATGATCTCTATTCTGAGTTAGGTGAAATGCATCCTGTCTTGATGGTCTTAACATTTCCCAGTAGAACAACCCCTCTGAATAGAAAGTCATATTGATTTGCAAAAAGGCAGGAAGACCGCTTTGGCAAAAGGTTGGTTACCTTAATCCATTTGGCATTTTGGTGATACAGTTATAACTGCCATTTACAGAAAATTTGTCCCACTGCTCACCCAAGGCTCCAGGGATATTGATCCCAGGTTCCATCATACTCAACTATAAAAACAGGCACAAATCTGAGGAGTTTATTTCCAGATCTGACTCTCATAAATGGCTACTCTGTAAATAGTAGCCATAGCAAACCCAAATCCAATCCCCCTGGATTCTTAGGGAGGGTCTCAAGTTTAAATCTGCTTCCAACTCCAGATCTAATATTTACTCATATAATCACATTTTGCTAATGTTTAACAAATACCTTTTAAAATCTCCCTCAAAGCACTGGTAGTTACCTAAGGACAAATGCCAGACTTGAGCTCCATTCATCTAACCACATTGTATACCTTGATGTGTTTAAGAAAGAGCATGAAGACAAAACATTCACTGATACCTCCCAAAGAGAGAGTTCTAGCTTTCAGCATTGGGCAACTTTGAGGATGTTTTGAGCAAGGTGTTAGAGGTTGGTGTCTGCATCTTGATGAGATTTTCTTCCCTGAATGAGTCTAATCCATGAATCTGATTATCTCTTAGTTACCACCCATCATCACTGAGCACAGTTCATGAGAAGGGGAGAGGAAAAAATTAAAAAGAAAATAGACATGCCTAGAAAACTAAAGTAACCTGATTCAAGACAAGAGGACTGTGCGGGAATCAACACTGTTTTGTCTATCTTTCCCAGCAGAAAACAGTTCCGATTTTTGAAAGAGCTTGTTACCAAGAACGGTGGGGGAAGGTGGAGCATCTAGGGCTGATTGATTGAAATGTACTGGAAAGGGACAACCCAAGAGACAATTTCTCGGAGGCAGAAAGGACTGTCAAGTCAGCAGAGACCCATGGCCTGCTTTAGGTATGAAGTCAAGTTAAAAAATCACTCAGATCTCCTGGCTTTTAAATCTACAATTAATTATGCATAGCTTTTTTGAGGCTTAAATTTCCATTCTCTCACAGGACTCTTTTAAACATGTGTCACTGCACTGGGACAGCACACAAGTGCAGTCTTTGGTTTGTTATGGACACAGCTCCTGTTACTAGTTCCTTTCCTGAGGCTTCTACAGAAAAAAAAAAGAAAAAAAAGGAAAAAAAAAACCCTTCTTCTTCCCAATTCTAGATTATTTATGTAAAAGAAAAAAGAAAAAAAAAAGTGACTTGTCTTTGCTGACAGACATCACACAATGAGAATAAAAGAGTAAAAGAATTAAGAACTGAGTTGGATTTGCCTCACCTCATTTTGTATTCCTACCAGACAGCTGGTCATCCCAAAATGCATTAATATTCAATGAAGAGAAACAGGCATTTTTCAACAGTGGTTCACTTTACTTAGAAATTTATGAGTGTTTCAGAAAAAAAAAAAAAAAAAGAGTGCTTGGGCTTGATCCAGTTGCCTACAGAATATCATCCAATGAGTTTTGACATTTTATAGTGGATCCCACCTGAGCTACCAAGCTACCAGGCTCTGACTTGTGATCCTACAAATGAGTAGATGTGGCTGTGTCTCCTCAGAATTTATGACACTATTTTTATTATATGAATAAGATCACAGCTCAAAGTCAGAGTTAGCAAGCAAAAAAGTCCTAAGCAAAGGATACAAACTTGATGACTTGTTTTGCCTAATAGAAAGAGA